AAATACAACGAAAATTTGGTAACCTCTCATTTTTACTTTTCCCCCACGTATTAACTTTTCACAACCACAGAATGCGACCCCTCCCTTTCTTGGAATCACAAATGCGACCCTCTCGTTCAAATATTGCGAACGAGCGGTTGACCCTCATCGTAACCCATCTAAAGGCATATGAATGCAGCGAATTAAAAATTAATTAGCTCGATTCGCAGTCTAACATCGACTTTAGTATTGCTTGTTCCTAGTTCTGGCTTCACCGTCCAGCCAGTGTGCTCATGCCTCCAAGCCTGAGTCAGATATGGAAATGAAGTTTTCCCTACATTTCCGTGTTTTATTCCTGCTTATGCGGCCATTTACGCACATAGGGAGGAGACGGGGACTGGCTACCGCGAAAACGAACTGCAACTATTTTAGCATCGTTAAAAATTGACATCAGTGGGAAAATCAGCTGACAGCGCAAAGCTTGAAGTAAAAAACTGGAAATCGAAGTAGATAAAAATACTACCTATAAGGGAGCCATGCTCCCTACTGGAGAGACTAAGCCAAAACTTGCGCTCACAGCAGCCAGACAGGGCGTCCCGGTTCGGTGAGTTGGCAACATTCACTGGCTGGTGTCCCCAAGAGGCCCATCGCGCGGCGAAGGAAGAGACGCAGACGCGGCAAAGGACGAGTCGCAGCGCATACTGTAGCGGTTAGGCGTCAGGTTAAATAGAGTGTACCATACTACGTCTCATATCGCACAGCACGCGCTGCGACTCGTCCTTTGCCGCATCTGCGTCTCTTCCTTCGCCGCGCGATGGGCCTCTTGGGGGACACCTTCACTGGCCACCCCACTTCTGAGAATGCTAATGCTGATGACGTCAGCAACAATGAGACTCGCCCAACACGAAGGTGGGCTGTGAAAAATAGTCTCGTTCAGCGGTATTTAGGCCACATTCAAGATATCATGGAATTTCTAATCAAGACTTAGGGATATCGATGAGTTTGAAATGCTGATTATAAATATAGAAAGAAGAACTGCAAAATGAGCCTGCCAAAATAGCTGCGAGCAGACAATGTCGGCTGAAAGTAAAGTGTTTCATATGAATCGCGAGTATTCAGAGTCGCTATGGAGTGGTGGTAGTGCTCTTGCTCTTCAGCCGGCAACGCATGAGGTTTCATCCTGTTGGAGGGCAAATTTTGAGAGCACTACCACTACTCCACGGCGACTTTGAAAGCCCGGAGGCTAGCACGTAATGCTTTACTTAGGCCAACTTTGACTGCTCACAACTTCCTTGGCAGGTTCATTTTGCAGTTTTAGTTTCCATATTTGTAATCAGCGTTTGAAGCTCTATCGATATATCTGGGTCTCAATTCAAAGTTCCATGGGAAATTGAATGCCTTCCCTGGTTAAG